TCACCTTATTCAAAAGGGCCACCTCTTGCTAATTTTTACATCCAAGGCTCCAAAAAGTAATGCCCATACTGACTAGATAGATCATGTCTGGTGAATTAATTAATTAAATACCTGGAAGGGAAGGTCTACCATTAACTCATCCCTTACTGTGATACTGTTAAAACTGACAACATAAGAAGCTCCTCTTCATTTCAGACCGTTTCACTTTACTTTTCTTTTGGCTTAAGGTCTTGAAGTCATTTGTCAATATTTTGACCAGCTATACAGAAAACTGAACCTACTTTGGGAAACAGATGTTTGTGCTCCCAAATAATGGTTCAGAAGTATTGCATTATTTGGTAAACTGTTCACATAGAATCTTCCCTATTCCAACCACTTTTTAAAACCATCAAAGATATATAATGTCTTCATACATAGGCACATTTACATTTCTACATTTTATCTATCTCCAATTTAGGTTTTGCTATATTTGTAAGTACTGCCTTATACAATTTTTATAAAATAAAATGAAAATAAATTAGGATTTAAAGGCGACTAGTTGGAAAGGTTTGGGTTTTTATTATTTTTAAGAAGAAACTCATATTGCTTAATATAAAAAATTATATACATAACTTCCCAAATGACTTTGATTTTCCTAAAATAGCTGCAAGCAGTTCTTATTTAATCGAGCAATCAATACATATTTATTGACCTGCTCCATTTACCAAGACTATTTGTTGCTGACTATTCTAAGTTATTTGACCTTATATGGGCACCAGATACATCAGATACATAATAACAATGGCAGCACAACTTCTTTCTTTCTTTCTTTCTTTCTTTTTACTTATAATTATCTTCTAATTTTTCTGTTGAACTAACATTCTTTTTCGTGTAATTTAAAATTTCTAATTCTTTAGGAATCACAGTTCTTCCATAATTATTATTAATCCTGTGCTCTTTTCACAATACATTTTCCCTTTTCATTCCCCCTTTTTCCAATATTCTTACAAATATTTAATTTGTGCTCTCATTTTATATATATATGTATGTATATGTGTGTGTGAGTGTGTGTGTGTGTGTGTGTATATATATATATATACACATATATGTATATGTATATATATATATATATATACACAAAAGGGCCACCTATATATATATATAGTGTACCCAAACTTTCACTTCTGATTAGAGTTCACTTTGAATGTCACTATGCAGATAAATCAATATGGGAAGGTGAAAACAAGCTGAAGAGTTTGATGAAGATAAGTGATCCACACCAGACATCATAGCTGTGTTGAAGTGGGAAGGATCCTCGGAACTCACTCATTTCAATCATCTCACGTGATGTAGATGGTAAAACTCAACCCAGGGAAACAAGACGTGCCCAACCTCATGTGAACAAATCTAGTTCTCCAAGATATTTCTTCTCATATCACTAATAGAAACTTTCTAAGTCTCTTTTTTTCTTAGGAATTGTTTATTATGATTTTTCCTGAAAAATATCTGGCTAAGGTGACTTTGGTCTTACAGTCTGAGCCTTAGTCTCCTCTGGTTCAGTAGGAAAGCCTGTATTCTCTTAATTGTGAGTCAGCATATATCACATTCTCTTTTATTTTTTTTAGTTTTATCACAACCTTGCAGAGTAAGAGCAAGATAAGAGAGGAGGAAACTATTGTTATCTACTGGCTTTTGTAAAGGTAACTCTTTTCAGGTAAATATATCTGCTTTCCCTCAACAAAGCAGTGGAAGCCATAAATAATATGGGTTAGAGGTGTCTGTAATGCCCACATGAACTGGCATATTGTGCTAAATGCATTTCTGCTGAATTTTTATTTTGGTTATTCATTAAGCCAAGTCATCATTAACACCTGCATGGTTTATGAAAAGTATAAACTCAAAAATATCCCTTAATGGTGCTATACTCACGGATTAAATCAGCTTGCTTGTACAAAAGGACAGCAAGAAAATATCTTTTCCTATTCGTTTCCTACTTTTTTACCTCGTCCTTCTTTCATGTGTCTTTTATCTCTGTGAGTAGCTCACTGGGTTCATTCTTCTCACTTTTAGTTATATCCTCAAAGTTAAATTTGACTACATTTTTTATGCTTAGCCTAATGGTATGAGCACTATGTGTGTTTTCTAAATAAACCTGAGAAGGATGAAGTCTTTCTTCCACAAAGGCATTCTAAGTGTTGAATGAACCTTGAGATTCGATGCAGGAAAACACTTTCATGTCCACAATTGTTACTAACCTACCCATTAAAGGATCAATGATCCATAAGCTTCATACTTGCCCTCAAATAGTCAATAGTTAAACATTTAAAGAAACTCAAACAAAATTAATAGACTGGAAAAATTAGAAACATGCTGTGAACCAGTGTCTTATAAATAACACACTATATAAAAATTAAATTAGTTTATCAAATAAAAAGGTGATATTTTCATGTAACAACATAATTCTTAATCAAATGGAATTAGAAGACACATCTAATACTGATGCTTGGAATACATTTTAGATATTCTTTGATTTTATTTTTCATCAGTCTTATACAGTAACAAAATTCAGTTTTCTTAACCATTAAAGTTTTTTCAATGATTTTGGACAGAGATCTAGGAATGAAAGTTCACAGTCTTAAGTATTTGATTTGTATGATCGATAAATGAATGGAATAGATTCTAAGAACTAGAAAATCCCATAATGGGCCAGCACTGCCTAACAACCCATCAATCAAGCAAATTCAATCAGAAGTTTGCCTAATTCCCCCACTAGCTACTAAAACTATTAAAATTTAGAAACAATAAAACGTAATAAAATTCTTGTGAAACTCCTTTACTTCACAAATAAAAAGGCATAGGCCACAAACGTAGTAAGACTTGCAGCAGCCAAGAAATCGAGATCTGTGGGCACCATCTTATGAAGAAGGAGGATATAATGTAAAAGGAAATGGACAGTCACAACTCCACAAGTTCACAAAGTGCTGAGCAACACACAGGGGACCACACCAAATTAAACTGGTTACATCATGCAAGGAGCACTCATCAGTTGCTTACCAGGCAACTAGGTTGTGTCATCAGAAGTCCAACTCAGGAAAAGTTCTTTTTAGTGGTACATTAAGACCTCTCCTCTATGAAGGCCAGATCCTGAGTTAAATAGTAAACAAAAAGATGTACAATTAAAAATCAAACTCCTATTCAAGTCTTTAGTCCATGTTGGAATCAGGTAATTTGATTTTCTTTGTTGTTAAGTTGTAGGAGCTCTTTACATATTTTGGGAAAATATTGGAGATATAAAAAAAGTAGTCAAATCAAAAAAAGAAAAAAACCTCTCAAAGGGACCAGCAGTTAGTGTAATGGCTATGTTGCTGGACTCCCATGTAGCTGATCACGATTCTAGTTCCAGTCTCGGTGACTTAAACTCACGCGGGGCATGTGCGCGTGCGTGCCCAAGATCCTGAGAGGAGAAGGAATTGCAGCATGGCCATCCCCCTGGGGGGTGATTTCTCTCTTTCTGTCTCTCTGTCTCTCTGATGAGCTTGCATACCCTATAACAAGAACAACAACAAAACTCTCAAAAAGAAAAAAAAAGAAAGAAAAAAGTAGTCAAAATCCATGAAGCAGAAAGTTAGAGTGGCAGGGCTACTACTTCCTTCTATTACTTCCTCTCTTCTCCCGCATAGATAAGACGCTGGAGAAGAGAGGGGAAAAAAGTATTTTTCGGATAAATAGGATTTTAGCTTTGCAAGATGAAAACATTCTGTTGATCTATTTTACAAGTTGAATGTAACATGACTAAACTGTATGCTTAAAAATGGTTAAAATGGTCAATTTCATGTTACGTATGTTTAGCACCATTTTTTTTGAAATGAATAAAAAATAAAGCTCATATGACTGAAAAATAAATTAGGAACCGTTCAAAAGAAATCAGACTCAGACAAACAGATCCTATAATAGTATTTCTTCAATGAGCTCAAGTTCACTTGCATTAGATGCCTTATTGTTTAGCCATTCGTAAGATACACTGAAAACGCAGAAGGCTAACGTTTCACTTTGGAAAAAAAAATCTAATGTAGTAATATAGTAGGTTTAACTACTTAATGCTTTCAAAAAGTTTAGTCTTTCATTGCTTATTCATAATAGCAGGCTGAATGCAAAATAAGCAATCAAAGGTTGGTTTAATTTTATCTGTCCTACGTTAATCAAATTGTTGCTAGCATATTTGATACTAATTTTTAAATTTCAATGAACTATTTTCTTTAATAATTAAAAAAAATTACCCTAGACTTGATATTGGCACAGCCCTTTACCCATTGCCAACTTCGGCCTGTCTGATTTTTAAAAACATAGCCTGAGAGTTGTATTTGAGCCTAGAACATAGGAAGCTCTAGCCTCACTCAACCCTGCGGAACTCATCCACCACACTATCCTGTACTTAAAACGCGCATTACTGATCTACTATCATCAATGCATTAAAACACAAACACCTCCTGTCTGTAAAGCAAAAGAAATTCTAAGTTTTGGAGTCGATGTTCTGCGTTATCGATAGTCTCTTAACCTATTGATTTGTCCTTCAGTAAGTACTGTGTTTCTAGAAAACCTGGGGAAGGAATGTGAGAGGCAGGGCAGGGAGAAAAGACAGTGAATTAGGAAAGGGACCAGGAAGGTAATCGCTTCCTTGAGGAGGCTGGGGTGGCACCAGAGTAGAGGGAAGGGCC